CAGCGCTCTACCTCTTGAGCCACAGCACCACTTCCACTTTTCTAGTGGTTCATTGGAGATCAGAGTCTTAGACTTTTCTGCCCAGGCTGGCTTTGAACAATGATCCTCAGCTCTCAGCCTCCCGAGTAGCTAGGTTTACAGGTGTGAGCCACGTGCCCAGCCATACTGAACAATTTTAAGCCACATATTTCCTGGATTCGCTGTACAGCAATCCTGTAGGATCCTGAAACATCATTTTGGTCATTTTATGATACTGTAACATGGCTGGCACATGATACTTTGAACCCGCAAGTTAAGTTTTGGTCTCATTCCGAAGGTCCTTCAGTTCAGATTCTCAGGTTCTCTTGTTTACACTGGATGCTTTCTCTGACTAAAATGGGCTCAGTATTGGCTCACGCCTGTAATCCTAGCTACTCAGGAGGCTGAGATTTGAGGATCGAGTCTTATCTCCAATAAACCACCAGAAAACTGGAAGTGGTGCTGTAGCTCAAGTGGTAGAGTGCTCACCTTAAGCTGAACAACTGAACAACTCCCCCCCCCAAAAAAAAAAGGGCTCAGAACCACTCCATCTACACTCCATTAAGGTTGGCCCCAACGACTCCTAATCTATCTCTAGTACACAGTAGTATGTGCTCACTACAGCCTTGTGGAATGAATATTACTATTTATAACTGAGATTGGTAGGGACAGATGAGGTCTACACATATTTGAGTGTTTTCTTGCAGATCGGGGCTCTCTCTACACATAAGATCACTGAATTTGAACAATCATCCTCAAAGATTTCACTCTATACTAGCTGACAATGTGGCTTAGTCAGCTGCTCAGAGATCAAAGGTAAGTACCTGTACAGGCAAAGTGTCACTTTCTGGGCAAAAGATAAAACTAAACAAAAAATACATATACATAGTATATTCTTCTCTTCTGATGGCAGACCCAAGTTTCAAAATAAAGCAAAACAAGGGTGAAAAAAAATTCAGCAGCAAATAAAGGGAAGAATATGAGATGCTTGTGTTGGAGTTACGGGAAAGATGATCCAATCAACTTTAAGACTTAACATACCTTGCATCGAGCTGTAACCGAGTTTTTACTAGCCAGATGGGGTTGGTTGCAGTGATCGCAGTAAAACCTAAACAAACACGTTTAAAAATGAATTCCAGAAAACATGAAGAACATGCTACTAAGGTTCTTTAAATCATATTAGTTTCTATATTAAAGAAAATTTATACATTTAAACTATTATATTTTACTTTTATTTACAAAATGCATATATCCATGAACATCTATCTTTACCTCCAATCTAAATAACTTAATTTCTAACCTTAACCAAGTGATTCTTTTAAGAGCAAAAATCTCATGGTACATAAAGTACAATTCTAACCTGTACAAAATATCCCTGTAGGGTGTTCTTGACTCTCTACACTGAATTTAGAACCCACTTCTCTAGACAACATGCAGAAAATCCGTGGGTTCTAGACTAAAAGAAAGCATGTGTTCTCTGACGGCTCTTTGGGGGTGCATCACCCATCACTGCATTCAAAAGGAGTTCTACATAACCAGCAGTGTTAACTAACGTCTTCATCTGTGAAATGGAGCAGATTGTGTGCGGCCTCGGGGATGTTTTCTCTTGTAAACATAATGGCGTCACAGAAGTAAGGCTTCTATTAGGGTTCCAGAGGAGACATCTACTCTTTGTCCAAGTGAAGAACACATAGGACGATTCAAAAGTTCAAAATGTTACTCTCGGGAACTTCCTTTGCTCTTCTACAGGCATGAAAGAAAGTCGGGGCAGGAGGCAGCTCTAATTTCTCTAACATCACCGCTCCCAAGGGTGGTCCCTCAAGATAGCTCAATTCAGGTAGTCAATTAAGGTCTTGGAGTAGATGTTTCTGGGTTCATGCCTATCTTACTTGCCATTTTCCTAGTTTTGGGGAAAAGGGCAGCACACAATGTGTGGTCTTAGCGGTGGGAACTTGAGAGCGCTTCATCTATACAAAGCAGGGTTTTCATACTTTGCTTTTACATTTAGATCTGCCACACAAACCACAGAGTACTTACATCAAAGCTACTTTTTTTTTTCAACTGACCTTTAAATTCAGTGAAAACATAGAGCTAAACGTCTAAGGATCTTAACTTTTACTACTTTCTATCGAATACTAATAGGTCAATCACATTATTTTTTTGAAAGGTAAACTGTAGCCAGCACACTTAAAAGTATTTTCAGATCAAAATAGCTGTGATGCACTTGGAGATAATTTGCTTTTTAAATCTGTACATTACGTGAAACCAATCGTAAAACTTTCTTGGCTTCAAAATGGCTTACATCTACATAGGCAAAATGATGTTTTTTTTTTTGTCAGTCATGGGGCTTGAACTCTGGGCCTGGGCGCTGTCCTGCAGCTCTTCAGCTCAAGGCTAGCACTCTACCACTTGAGCCACAGCTCCACTTCTGGTTTTCTAGTGGTTTACTGGAGATAAGAGTTTCACGGACTTTTCTGCCTAGGCTGGCTTTGAACTATGATCCTCAGATCTCAGTCTCCTGAGTAGCTAGGATGACAGGTGTGAGCCACCGGCGCCTGGCAGGCAAAATTATTTTAACAAAATTGTTTTCAAAGCCAAATCTGATCTCACAAGGTTTGTGTCCCTTGTATGATATCTGATAATTAGCTAAGCCTAATTTTACTCCCTTTTGATAGAGAAATTGCCTTGTGTTACAGAAAGGGATACACTAATAAAACCTATTTAGAGAGCAAGATAAATGGGAAATTTTAGTTTAATAACTCCTGTAATAAATTTGTAAAGATTATAAAACTTCCATTTCTCAAGTGTTTTTAATACTACATACATAAGTATAAGCTAGAATGGGATTGATAATTTTGGAAGTATGAACTAATACTAAAATAACAAAGTTTGGATGTTTAACAGAATTGTCAGGGAACAGTTTTTTTTCTTCTTCAGTAAGAGGTTCTTTTCAAGAACAGTCTTGGTCAAAGGAAAGAAAAGCAAAATCGAAACAATGACTAGTTTAAATATCTGTCTTACGTGGCCTAGATTATTGAAAACAAAGTTATACTTTTTTTTCCTACTCAAATTTTATCTTAAGGAAACAGATATAGTCAATCCCCAATTTAATGATTTTTCATTTGGTGCTGAGTACCAAACACAGGGCATTACAAATGCCACGGAAATGCTGGACCACTTATTTAGCTAAATGTGTCTATGGTAAGACAGACGGGGGACAAAAAAAGACAAAAACAAAAAAAACCCCTAAGTGGCATAAAGCCAATAAAATAATTCTGCATTTTCTCAATGATTCTTATCATTCTGTATAAATTTTAAATTAAGAAAATTAATTTGCTTCTTACTAAACCTTAGAAAACAAAGCAACCTTATATCCAACTTAAAAAAAAAAGCTTATCTAAGGAAAAACTCTTATTTTACTTCATTTGAAAAGATCAGAGATGAAAAAAATTTTTTGAAAATTATTTTTTAAAATAAAATCTCTTCTATAAAATACTTAGTATCCAAGTTTCTGCCCATGATACTCTTCAAAGTCATAAAATCCCTCTATCTTAAGCAGAGAGAAACCAAACAAATATTATTACTAGGAACAAATAATTTAAATTAGTATCTGTGCTATTAATAAATACTGGGATGTAAACAACAGGTATTCTCACTTCACTAAAATTCATTTCCAGGGACAACATGCCACAGATTGCATTAAAATTTAGCTAAGTGAGAGCTGGGAAGGTGGCTTAGTGATAGAGTGCTTGCCTAGCACACATGAAGCCCTTGGCTCTATTCCTCAGTACCACATAGACAGAAAAAGCCAAAGTGGCGCTGTGGCTCACGTGGTAAGAGCACTAGCTTTGAGCCTAGGGCACAAAGAGGTGCAGGGACAGTGCCCAGGCTCTGAGTTCAAGCTCCAGAACTGGCAAAAATGAATAAATAAAATAGCAAAGTGAGAAAATGTTATTATGTTTATTATTAGTAATTTGTGCTTACTCTGCTTTGGCTTAACTCTCCCCCAAATTAGAATGACTTAATACAGACACTAGTGTATCAGTGTATTAGGGCAGCTAAAGAATCTATTCTTAAGCTATGGCTTTTTTAGCTATCAATCCTTTATGAGTTAGAATTCTGCTCAGTTCTATGGTATCACTTTCTCTTATACTTTAATAAACTAAGCAGACATTCTAGGCTAAATCTAGAAAAACACAACTTATTTATTCTGGAAATGAAATGGAACACTCCTCCCCCAAATCTACCTAAACCTGGAATTACTATGTCTGAGACACATTGAGATACTGACAATGATGTTCCTGAAGTTTGGAAATCGCTTATTACTTCTTGCTTTGCCTTTTAGCTTTATGATGTATTTTGTTAATATTCTAATTTATATTAATATTTAGAACACTTAAAATGTTAAGACAAGTTGAAAACTACACAAGGGATAATTTCTAAGTTAAGAGGGACTAGCATTCCAAAGTGAGTTAAAGCAAAGTGCCCTTACAGCCATACTGTTAGAAGTTATTGTTAGTGTGTCAGAGAGCTTAAATTTTTATTTTAAATGTAGTTTTTCTTCATACAAAACTCCACTTAATAGTGGAGTTTTAAGAACCAGATAAATATCACCCACAGGACTTGCCGAAAATGTCTATCTTATTAAGGGAATGATACCTGTAGTACTGCACTTTCGGCATTTTATTTCAATTAGCTTCTGTAAGAACAAAACCCTCCTTCCTGAGAGGTAAGTATTGAAACTGTTTCCAAAGTAATTAAAACTACAACAGCTACCAAAACTACAATAGCTACTAAGACTCTGTAGGTTATATCCTGTATTTATTTAGAAAGGAGTGATATTAAGATTGGTATTTTCTACAAAGAGTAGAAAGCTATGTATCAACTGACAAGAATGGAAAGCTGTATTAGACTTTTAGATGTTACGCTGAGCAACAGAGCTATTGTAAAAATCGGAGGATGCTGTGATACCATTTACAACTATGCAAATGTACTGCTTATCAGATTCTTTGGAGGTCAAGGCTGTTATGGCCAAACTGAAGACCCCAGGCTCACAGGATGACTGAAAAGCACCCCATTCTTCCTTCTAGAAGGATCATAAAGGGATCAGAATTAAAACACTCAATAACGCACATTACAAATTCAGGAAATAAATTCATTTCCCGCCTTCTACTCATGCCACAGTTTATAAAATCCCAGGGTGTGTTTCTTATACTAGAGGCTGCAAGAGATGCTCAGATCAGTACTCACGAGGTTTAAGTTAGTCCATATTTCTACAGGAAGTGACCTGCGGATGGGGAGCATGAGATGACACGATCTCACTCTTTTCTCGGGAGAAATGTACAGTAAATGCCTAAAATAGACACAGGCTTTTCTGTATCATAACAACAAGCAGTGACCTCATCAGAAACATGTGTACAAATTGAATCCCATTGGAAGGATCTGAGAAATATCTGTGAGATCTAACTTTATTTTATTTTTTTTGAAATTTTCAAGTTAAAAAGAAAAAGAAAGGAATATCAGAATGGGCCATTAAAAATTATTTTTAATGTGCCAAGAATCGAAAATCTCACCATCTGCTGCAGTTTCAGAGTCCGAATACTTACCTGAAAGGAGACCAGTTTTGTCTTACAAGAAAAAAAATGCTAACCTTGTCAAGGGGGCTCTAAAATAATTTATGGAATTACCATATCCCATTTTCCTGTCATAATTATCTACTATGTTTAAAGAGCTAAAAGCACATTGTAGTCTATCAGGAAAAACACATTTTCTTTTTAACCGTCAGTCTGTTTGGTACAAATTTTAAAAGCCCCCAAAAATATCCGAGTCTGGAAGTATTCATGTTTAAATAAAAGATAGTAAGCATGTGTTGCTACAAAAGTACCTTTAACTTTTTGCATTCTAGTCAGTAATATTGCACATCCATACTTAGGGTCTATTTAGGATTATTTTGAACTTAATTTCTTGTGTTCTACAAAACAGAAAACAGGAAGAAGGTTTACAAATAAACACACAAAGAAGCTGCCCAACCACCCATCTGGCTGAATAGACTGCCAGGACAGATAAAATATTGTTAAAAAGTTTTAAATAGGCAAGATAAAAATTTGTATTATTTGAGTAAACACTTGGCCCTTAATAATGAACTAAAAGTCAAATACAAAAATCTTTTTTTTTTTTGTCTTTTCTTTTTTTGGCACTGGGGATCGAACCCAGGACGTTGCGCTTGCTAGGCAAGCGCTTTGCCACTGAGCTACATCCCAGCCCAAATACAAAAATCTTGAAACATGTATGCTATAAAATAAAATGCACTAAGTTATTTATGAGAACATAAAAGCTTACATTATTTATAAATTAAAAAATGGATCACTAACTTCACAAATACTTATTAAAAAAATCCAAATCCACTTCCCTCCCTTACTTCTATACCACTACATATAAAAACGTTTGCATATGCCAGAGAAAAACTTAAAACTGGAAATTACCTTATAAAAACACAATACAACTTCTGGCATATATATATGTATATATGCACACATCTGTGCCTAAGTGTACATAAAGGGATACTCAATTCATTTAAATGAAACAGACACAAAATAAGGCATCCTCAACAACTAGTCAGCTGGAAGGGAACATCCATTGTAAGGGAAAAAAAGGCAGGTAAAATACCGAAGACCTACTTAAACTGTCCTTATTAATCTGAGAGGTCCTTGCGATAAACATTATGCACACACTACCCTTATCTAACCCTTATAAGAGTGTGCTGGTTGGTACAGCAAAAATGCTGAAGCAATATTGCCAGCTGCTTAAGTTAAATATACTTTTTTATAATAAAGCGACAAGGTTAGCATTTTTTCCCCTTGAATAACCAGTTAAAAATGATTTTTCATAGGATCATCTCAAAGCACCTAATTACCCCCCCCCACGCCATTCATATTTAGTCCCGTGGTCATGTATAACTGCCATGCTAAGTGTTAATGCTCATAAATAGTGCAAGGAAGCTGTGAAAGCACAATTCTCAGAACAATGCGACTGCAAACAAACCAAGGAAACATGTCCAAGTTACAGTTAAGTGTACAGCGCAATCATCTGTGAACAAACATAAGAAGAACAATTCAAGATGCATGGAACCATGTTGTGAAACAGTATCGATGCACACATAAAAACTGGGCTGACATTTGTATACATTTGGGCAAAGAAGTAAAAAGTGACAATTTACTGAATTCCTTTGCAGTGTGATACAAATAAGAGTAATATAGTCTTATTCTAAAGAAATAAGATGGGGCTGGGAAGATGGCTCAGTGGTAGAGGGCTTGCCTTGCATGCCTGAGGCCCTGGGTTCGATTCCTCAGCACCACATAAGCAAAATGGAAAAAAAAAGCCGGAAGTGGCGCTGTGGCTCAAGTGGTAGAGCGCTAGACTTGAGCTGAAGAGCTGAGGGACAGCGCCCAGGCCCAGAGTTCAGGCCCCATGACCGGACCCCAAAATAAATAAATAAAAAAAATAAGATGTTCCAAAAAGAATTAAAGTATTCTGAAACTCTAATATACAGTAATTTTTTTTAACGTAAAAAGACCAGTAATATGCTTTCTTAATGTTGGTTCTTTCAAAGGAAGCAACATCAGTATTTCTTTAATTTTCTGGGATCAACAACCAAAATGTAGTAAGACCTAGTGCTGTGGTTATGTGGTTATTGGTCTGTTCCCTGTCCACTTTCCCCATTTCACTCTCTGGGGATCGTCTATAGTAAACTTCTGTTTTGACAGATGGTCTCTACCTCTAAATGAATCAATTTTCAAAATCCAAATAACTGCACAGAAAAGGTAACATAAATTACCTAACTTGCTCAAGAGTTCCTTATTGGAAAGTGAGAATTCTCACCATCTTGACTTTAAATGTTGTTGTTCCTTCCGGCTTCAAAACTTCAGTCGGTCAGTCAACAATCGCTAAATATAAAAAGCCTTGAAAACAACGTAGAAGATATATGCTAGACGTGTATGTTTATGTGAAGGTTGTCACCGCTCAGAAATGAGTATTTCCAACTTATACTTAGTTGGGGTAAATATGTGGTTCCAACAAACCCAATTTACCTCTAAACAGAAAACGGCTAACAGTTTAAGGTACTCATTACCAAACGTGTAACTGATACTCAGTTTACTGATAAGTAGCCAATAAAAATGGCTCTAATTTTTCTCAGTATAACTTCAAATCTCAGAAAATGGGAATTTTCTACTGAGAACCCAAGTGCATGTTTTTTTGAGTATGCATGGCAGCAAATGATTCCAGAACCAGACCTGTCAAACAGATCTCAAGTTTAGCGTAAAGTGGTGCAGAAGCATTAATTCAATGATACTGACTCATCGATGATGACAGAAGAGATCCTGGAAGCATTTTTATCTGTGTGTGTGTGTGTAGCCAGGGTTGACATTTCAGATACCATCTAGTCCGACTTATGTGGAATGATGTACGTATTCTTGAAAGTACACACATTATGGTTTTAGTTATCGATAATGTATCACTTACAAAAGTTTCAGCATTGGAGCACAAAATGAATACTTTACCAAGAAATGCCAGCACATTTCAGACAGAAGCCAAAATATGCAGCTAAAAGGGAAAAGGCACTAACAGAAATTGAGGAGAGAAAAGTAAATTACAGTTCCATTACAGTACGATTATGGCTGTATTCTTAATACTTAAATCAAAGTATTCACTGCATGATACAAGGCAACAGAAATATATTATCTGTATCCTATCACGTAAATTCTTAATTACAAAACTGCAGATCAACAAAAGATTTTACATACACCTAATCAAATCTGTTCTATTCCAATAAATATAAATTAACCATTAAAGATGCCAACCAATAAAATGTACATCAATCACTTTAACTTTTCATTATAAACTCAACATGTTTCAGCATTAAGTATCTAGGTTTTAGAAAGTTCCTTGTTTTTTAGTATCATACATTCATACCTGCCATTGCGGCTGATATCATGTGTACTTGGGTAGAGTCGGGATCAAACACACCATTCAACTTTTCCTTGCAGTTTGAATAAGCAGCAAAGTATATTGCTCTAAAATAAAGATTTAAATTGACTTTAGTAAGTATGTTTGCTCAACTTATAAAATGTAAATTCATCTTCACAATTAAAAAAAGACCAACTGGTCATAGGGCTTGAATTCAGAACCTGGGTACTGTCCATGGGCTTTTTTTGCTCCAGGTTAGCATTATAACACTTGGAGCCATAGCTCTCCTTCCAGTTTTTGAGTGGTTAATTAGAAGTAAGAGTCTCAAGGGGAGTTTTCTGCCTGGGCTGGCTTTGAACTGCAATCCTTCTATCTCAGCATGCTGAGTAGCTAGGATTACAAGTGTGAGCCATCAGCACCCAGCAATCTTTATAATTTTAGAATGAACTTAATAACAAGGTCTTAGCCCTTTCCATTTAATGATTTAAAAAGACATACTCAAATATGAAATTTCTAGCATCTACTTTCAAACAGTATTTTTTTCTTTCTTGTAGATTGTGGGGCTTGAACTCAGGGCTTGGGCATTGTCCCTGAGCTCTTTCACCCAAGGTTAACACTTTAAGCCACAAGTCTACTTCTGGTTATCTGACAAGTCTCACAGAGCCAGGTGCTAGAGGCTCAGGCCTGTAATCCTAGCTACTCTGGAGGCTGAGATCTGAGGATCATGATTTAAAGCCAGCCCTGGCAGAAGTCTGTGAGACTCTTACCTCTAATAAACTACTCAGAAAAAGTCTGGAAATGGTATTGTAGCTAAGTGGTAGAGTGCTAGCCTTGAGCCAAAGAAGTTTAAGGACAGCCCCAGACTCCAAGTTCAGGACAGAAAGATTGTACAGATATTGATGACTGGAAAATCCCATTAGTGAGTAAGGCTGTTGAAATCTATGCAATGCTAAAGTACATCTAAGCTAACTAAATCAATGCCCTATGAGAACATGTGAATCTCTAATTTGGGAAAGAAGGAGGTAGAGCTGATGGATTGAATCCAAGTACAAGCTAAACAATCAAGATGGTGTGGTATATTCTAATCTGTACTGCACAGAGGAGTTCAGTGTTCTTTTTTTTTTTTGGGGGCGGGGGTCCAGTCATGGGGCCTGAACTCTGGGCCTGGGCGCTGTCCCTTGGCTCTTCAGCTCAAGGCTAGCGCTCTACCACTTGAGCCACAGCGCCACTTCTGGCTTTTTTCCTTTTTGCTTATGTGGTCTGAGGAATTGAACCCAGGGCCTCATGCATGCAAGGCAAGTGCTCTACCACTGAGCCACCTTCCCAGCCCGAGTTCAGTGTTCTTTTCCTTGCTTTTCTTTGTGTGTGTGTGTGTGTGTGTGAGAAAGAGAGAGAGAGAGAGAATGTGTGTGTGTGTGTGTTAGGGACTGAATCCAGGGCTTCATGCAGGTAAGGCAAGCACATTCCCAGCCCCAATAGAGTGTTTCCTAAATTACTAGCTATATCATTCTACACTTTTTTATTTTTCGCCAGTCCAAGACTGTCAAATATTTAATGCAAATATTATACCTCCTTCTTATAATTATGGAACAACTGTTAGTTTCTGATGCTACTTTCAAAACATCTGATGCCACTTCCTACCAACAAGCATTCCTTGTAAATATCTTCTGGATAGCACCTAAAACCTTAAATTTCACGGTACATAAATGAGTAAGTGCCGGTGTTTTGAAGTAAGATGACAGTGCCATTATTTTACTTAATCTATTTTTGTTTTTACCTGGAAGGGGCCACCCCCACTAAATTGGGGCCTAATCCTCTAAACAAGGAACGAGGCCCTTCTTTTTCCAAGATCACCCTGAAAGATAAAAAAATTAACATTAGATTATACAGACTTCAACCAAGACATCTGTCTGATTATCCCACTCCAATCTCTAATTCCTGCAATTTTATTGTCTTTATCGGACAATTTAGTTTCTCAACTCCTTAGTTACAAACATTAGTTCTGTTCTAGTATTAAGGTCTCCATTTTCTGGCAGAGTTGCGAATCATGAGGGACTCAGGTCACAGAAAGCAAACACTCTACCACTAAGTCACTAGGTTTTACTCCGTACTGCAGGACAGTCTGGGCACTGTAGTTATGACATCTAACCATGGTAAGGGAATGGTTCAGCAAAAAGGAGGCACCTCACATTTGTGAGGGTACTATACTGTTTGCTCATCATTTCTCTCTACACTTAGTTTACCTAGAACTTATTGTACGAAGAGCTCTTTATAGCTAGGCAAAGGAAAGAGACAGGAAAGGCCCCAGCCATTGAGAAATTCCCTGTTCAATTATGGGGAACCCTCTTCTCCCCAACAAACAAACCAGAATTATATTGAAACAAGCAATTCACCAGAGCATATTAACAAGTAAATGCATCTTTGGAAGAAAAAAGTACAGAGGTATGTGAAAGGCATAAAAGACTGCCTGAGAGCTAGTAATTCAATTAAGTTCTATAGGCAAAAACACCAAATCAGGTAGGTCAAATGATTCTCAAGCATCTATATACTTTAAAAAGATCATGGGGCTGGGAAGGTGGCTCAGTGGTAGAGTGCTTGCCTTGCATGCATGAGGCCCTGGGTTCGATTCCTCAGCACCACATAAGCAGAAAAAAAAAAAAAAAGGCTGGAAGTGGTGCTATGGTTCAAGTGGTAGCGAGCTAGCCTTGAGCTGAAGAGCTGAGGGACAGCACCCAGGCCCAGAGTTCAGGCCCCACGACCGGACCCCCCCACCCCCCCAAAAAAATCATAAAAGTAATTAAACATAGTAGTCAATTAAAAGCCAGAGTTAGGGCTAAATTTTTCACTATGAAGTTGGTCACTTCATAGTTCAATGAACTCTGCTGATAATGGTGAGTTCACTAAGCAACTTTCAGCTGTGCTGCTTTCTTATTGGGTATCATAAGGGTTAATTAAATAAATCAGTATGTATGGAGCTTTAAAAAGGGCCTGAAGAACTGAGGAATATGAAACTGAGATGAACAAACTTGTGAAAAACATGCAAAGGGAAAGCAAAACTATTGAAAAAGAAAGCAAAAAAATGTATCAAGAGACCTTGTTTGGTGGTAATCAATATCAAAATCAGGCTATTAAGTTACATTTCCTATTATTAACTAGATAGAAGTATTTACAACTATGATATTTGAATTCACAATTGTTAACAATTTGTTTCATCTATTCATTTACTTAGGTAGTAACCAGTTTGAAAAGGCAACATGTGATGAAATCCTGTGGTGTGAGAGTAAACATACTGCAAGAGTTTATTTGCTACAAAATAAATACTATTGAACTAAGTTCAAATAGATCCAGTCCCAAGTAAGCTGATAAAACAGATACAAGTCTGAACTTGTAAACTGGTAAAACTAGTAATAAAAAGTGAATCTAATAGCTTTGAAATTACAACACAAATATAAAATATAAAAGCGTATCTTTTCAAGCCATCAAAAAATGTCAAACACAGACAGGTGTTGGTGGCTCCTACCTGTAATCCTAGCTACTCAGGAAGCTGAGATCTGAGGATCATAGCTCAAAGCCAGCTTAGGCAGGAAAGTCTATGAGACTCTTACCCCCAAATAATCACTAGGAAACCAGAAGTTGGGCTGTGGCTCAAAGCACTAGCCTTGAGCAAAAGAGCTCAGGGATAGTGCCCAACCCGAGTCCAAGCCCCAAAACAACAACAAACACACACATACTGGATAATATTTAAAAATTTGGAGAATTTTTGTTTAGATTACATAAAAATCACGGTCTATCATTAGGTGTATAATACTTGTGTGAGTACTTGCAAAGAACCTTTTAAAAGGTGGCTGGCATAAACAAGCATGTGGACATTATGGAGGTAACTTCGCGAAACCAAGGAGTGCTCTGCCTTACTTCAGGCAATGGAGAGGTCCGGGAGACACCACTCGGTTGACACTGGCTCCAGCCATGGTGTTCAGCTGGACTTCAGAGATATAGAGTGTCACGGCGGATGACTGCAGTCGTGTCTTCACAACTTCCAGTGGACATGTCAGGATGGCTCCCACGGTACCCCCACATCTGCAGCAGATTGGCAGTCAGTACCTATGCCTAGTGTCCTCACCTGCGCAGGCTCTTACTCAAATTCAAAACTAGTAATGATTTTAGACTTTTTTTTTTTAGATATTTTTAAGTTTCCCTGACGTACCATATAAATTGCTAAAGGGAATTGAAGCTTCATATCTACCCAGTAATAAAAATCAGTTCGAGATTTCAAATAGTATCTGCTGGTAAGAAAATTACTGGCAAAGCTACAGTAAGACTCCCATGCTTATGGATGACTTGTGTCACTAGATTATTTGACATATATCCTACCTTTCAAACTCTGATTCTTTTAAAACCCAGCCAATGTTTTTCTAAAACACTAAGACTGAAATAAATTTGCTGATGGATATAAGCATACATATTACTCCTTAGTGCCTCATAGTCACTATTACCGTTGCATGTAGAACTCTATGCAAGGCAGGTAGAAAGTGAACAGTTCTGTCCTGTAAAGTCCCCAAGATGCCTAATGATTAAGGGCACCAAGTGCTCAATCTGGAGCCCCTGTGTGACATGAGGATGGTGAGAAGGTTCAATTTGAGCAAACAGATCCTTACTAACCTCTGCACCTGCCAGCACCTTTATACTGAACTATGGAGGTTCCAGAAAATACTGAATTGTCTATGAACCACTTGACTTACTGCATATTGTGTAGCAGCTCAAGTGGTCTAAGACATGGGAAAGTAAAAATCAAGGAGATAAGGTTGAAAAAAAAATACTTTCAGCTGGGTGCTGGTGACCTCACGCCTATAAATCCTAGTTACTCAGAAGGCTGAGATTTGAGGACCATGGTGCAAAGCCAGCTGGGGCAGGAAAATCCATGAGACTCTTATCTCCAATAAAGCACCAGAAAACCAGAAGTGGCACTGTGGCTAAAGTGGTAGAATGTTAGCCTTGAGCTGAAGAGACAGCACCCAGGCCAAGAGTTCAAGCCCCACAACTGATAAAACAAAACAAAAAATACATATATATACATACACACACTTTCAAGAATTCTATTTTTGCTCTTTTCTGACAAGGAAGCAAGCAAGCTAATGATCAAAGAAAATAAAAATTAGTATTAACTATGTGGAAGTTTCTTACTAAATTAATTACTACACAGTTTTCTTATTATCCCATTTGAGATCATCTCTCCCTCAAATAGGGAAAACAAAAAGGAATAGCTTCATGGTAGACAAAGATAGCCCACAGAACCACACTACACAATGCATAATTCTCTCAAAATATTAAAAACATTTCATAGGGCTGGGAAGTTGGCTTAGTGGGAGAGCGCTTGCCTTGCATGCATTGAGGCCCTGGGTTCGATTCCTCAGCACCACATAAGTAGAAAAAAGCCGGAAGTGGGCATTGTGGCTCAAGCGGTAGGGCGCTAGCCTTGAGCTGAAGAGCTGAGGGACAGCAGCTGGGCACAGTTCAGCCCCCACAACCGACCAAAAACAAAAAACATGTCATATCATTAAGAGATTCAGCTAAAACTAAACTCTATTTGCATTCTTTTACTGTCTGCCATGCTCTATAACTCAGCCTAACCAATAGCTTTACAAACTATTAACTCTGGCAAAAGCATAATGGGATCAAAGGGTGTCTTAAAGCAAGCACGAGTTATGCATGTGAGTGTGTTGCCCAGACTCAAGGTCCAGTACAAGTGGTTTTCAAATGTTCCGATTTAACAACAGAGCCTCCAGGCTACTAAGAAAAGCTTCCCAAGATTTTGATAAGTATATCCTTAAATAAATGAAAGTAATTTTTATCATCAGGAAAACAACTCAGGTTCTATGTTCAGAAAATTCTTGCCTAAGATTACATGCTTTCATGAAAGGGTACTCTTGGTTCTCTAAAACAGCCCTAGGTTAACCCTCAGGACACCTGTACGTGTAGTAGTGGTCCAGGAAAACAAGACTATCAAGTCAGCTCTCCTTTTCCTCTGCAGTTATTACTAAAGTAAAAAATAGATTTCTCAACTTCCAGCCTTCCCAATTGTACTAAGGAATAAATTTAGTACCTTGTAAAGAACATTCTAAAGATTACTGTCTATAAACTTTGACATACATATAAAGAAGTATCTTCAACTAGTAATGTAGCCAATGTAATTGCCTGTGCATTTCTGCAATGCTTAGACCACAGCAGAATGTTAAAACAGTCTGCATAAATGAATTTAAATATTACGTTAAAATAGAACTGGCAGGACTTTTCAAGATTACTCACTCCTCATTTTACATGTAGGACAAGCTGCTTGATCTTAAGCGAATTCTCTTATTTTGAAGGACCCAGATGGCTACTGTCTGTCTTTTTCTAACGTTTTCTCTTAAAGTTAAAAGCGAAGCTGGGTGCTGGTGGCTCACACCTGTAATGCTACCTACTCAGGAAACTGAGATCTGAGGATCAAGTCAGCTGAGAGCAGAAAAAAAAAAAGAAAAGAAAAAGACTCTATCTCCAGTGAACCAACTTTTAAGCTGGAAAAAATGGCTCAAGTGGTAGAGTGCCACAACCTTCAGCAAAAGAAAAAAAAAAAAAAGCTAAGGGACAACGCCCAGGCCCTGAGTTCAAGCTCCAGTTCGGACACGTGCATGGAAAAAAAGCATCCCCCCCCTCCCAATTTGCTGTCATTTTCCAAATTAACTGGGAAGGAAGGTCATCTAACGGGGCTGTGGTTCAGCAAAATGGCTGTAGCCAAGTCTAGCTTGGTAACCGAGGCACCGTCAAAACTTCAGACCCCTCGGTCCTATGCTATGCACACGGAGCCGCTGATTCCCATCAGGGTGAGTGACGGAGGAGGTCACCCCGCTTTCTACCTGACAGCAGCGAGGGTACAAAAAGGGCTTTGGCTGGTTTTCCTGGAATCAACACCGCCTCCCCCCCCCCCCCGCACAGCAACCCCAAATCCCCGTCCTCAAAGACCCGGCCGCAAAGAAACCCCATAGCTGGGCTAAGGTGGTTTCCGATCGCCCCCCCCATCCCAGGGATTACCCCAGCCTTGCAAGATCGGGGTGGAGGGACTCGGCCCCTCCGAACCCCTCGAGTTCCCGCCCCGCCTCCCCCAAGCAGTGCAGGACCGGAAACGGCCGCCGGCGGGGCGTGTGAGCGACGTGAGGCGGCCCGGCGCCCATTTTGTCCTCGGCCTCCACAAGTTCCCACCCTATCCTCTCCCCGTCACCCCCCATTCCCCACCCCCCATCCTCCTCCCTCGGCCAGGCCACCTACGCGAGGCCCGGGGTCGCGCTCACTCTCCCGGGTCCCGCTAGGCCGCGACGTGCGGCCTGCT